ATCTATAAAAAAAACGTTATTCCTTTTACTTACACCTTTGTGGACAAAAATCGGCCCCTTTTTAACGTCCTCTTTTAAAAAACAATGTCTTATTTCTGCTATATTTTGACGGGCATACGGTCGACTATCCACGTAAAGCGAGTTCCACTCAACCTCTCCCTCTGCCTCGGGGCATACGACTTTCCAAACGAAGCGACTTCAACCCCTCCTCCCCATCTGCTTAGGGGCATATGACTTTTCACGCGAAACAAGATCCACCCCCTCCCACCCTATCCAGGGACATAAGACTTTCCATGGGAAGTGAGGTCCACCCTACTTCTCCCTTGTTTAGGGGCGATCGACTTTCCACGCGAAGCAAAGTCCAACCCACTGACTTTTTCCTAGACAAGGAGGGAGGTGAAATGGACCTTGCTTCACATGGAAAGTCAAACACCCCTAAACGGGGGAATGTGGGGTGGACCTCGTTTCGCATGGAAAATCATATGTCCCCAGGCAGAAGGAGAGATGAGGTGGACCTCTCTGTATATGGTAGAAATAAGACATTATTTTTTAAACTTTATTTGATAATAATTTTTGAACGAACAGTGACCGTCACTTAAAACTTTTTGAAGGTCACTTATGTACACTATCCATCATATAGGTGTTATATACAGAAAATAATACAATTTTGAAAATGAGTTTTATGTAAATATATCTCGAAAACTATATTAGACTGATAATTAATTTATAAGATAGTTGATCAGTACCCTTACCTCTATAACATATGTCAAGGTCATCAAAGAGGTGTCCCCTAATGTAAAGAAATACCAATGATGTATATAAATTCTGTTAAATAATGTGACAATATAATTTTTAAGAATTTAATTGTTTATAATATTTGTATGCTTTTATATTTAAAAGTTCTATTTTCATGTCTAGCAGCTTTTAGTATGCGCTAATCTACTGTAATGCAAGAGACTGAATTTGCTACTAATTTTCCAATTAGCTCTGCTAATTCGTAGTAATTCATATAATTCGTAGTAATTTAATTAAGTCGTTTGTTTTCAGCGCAATCTATAGCTTTCCTATGTGTGTATATATATATATATATATATATACACACAAGACAAAAATTCTAAGTTGCTTTTTTTTTCGAAATTTTCGAGCAGCACTGAACTAAACGAGGTATCGTGGCTCACGTTACCTTAGGCCCAGTTCCACAACTCACGGTTAACTCTTAACCGAGGTTCAACTTATTCATTGTCTCTTTCTAATTTTAAAATTGAAAAGAGATGAGAAACAAGTTGAACCTCGGTTAAGAGTTAATCGTGAGTTGTGGAACTGGGCCTTAGTCACGCAACCGCGAGATCTGTTTGCGAAAATCTTTCCGATTCGCGCAATTTGAGTTGCCGTAAAGCAAACAACCTACGGTCACCTGCCAATGGAAAAATTTTAGATAACTCAGATAAGTCAGCGTGATATCGCTATCCGCGCGACGCGCGATTCGAGGCGAGTTCGCGCTATCGCCGATATCGCGAAGCGGAGCGATATCAACAGGTCCGTCAATGCGTCGCGTCGCACTGTGTCGTGTCACCGACACCGCGACACGTCGCGCGTCGCATCGTGTATATTGTGTCCACAGCACGATGGACCACGATGGATCAAAGCAAGAACGCGATCATCGTCGTTGATCGGCGTCGTCGCGTCTTACCATGCGCGCATGGTGTACGTATTTGTATTTACCTGTCGGATCTGGGAGACGAAGATGCGGTTTCCCCGAGATTTCGTCTTGAAAATTCCGCTACTGCCGCTGGCACACCACTGTATGTACCGGCGATCACGGCACCACTCGGTACCACCTCCTCACCAATACGCGTCGAAAACTTCGCGCGACTCCGTCGCCGCTTTTACGTCCGCTCGTCGTACTCCTGATCGAGCCGTACTCGTCGATTCGCTGTACCGAGCGCACGCTTGGTGTGCATATCCAGGCACATTCGATGCTAGGAGAAGCGACCGAACCGTTCTTGAACTTGAACGCGGGCTGCGAACGAAACAGACGCGATAGAATGCGAGTATTGTGGAACGCCAAGGTAAAATCCCAAACCTTCGTTTTTGCCACATGCGTCACATGGGTCGTGATGCGTCGCTTCGCGGTACTGGGAGCTGGCTGGGAGCCACCGGAGCCACAGGAACTGAAAGCTAAGAGAGAAAAATCGTGTCGTAGCACTCGTAGCATTCGTTACTCCTCGCTCGTCGCATTACTCACGTCTCACAGTCACAGTCACAACTCACAGCGCGAACCACCGAAGTGCACCGAATTACCGAAGTGACGTTTGTGTCGGACGTGATCAGGGGCTCTATTCTTGAAAAGTATCGCGTACGTAAAACTAGGGAAATACTATAGCACATGTTACGTGCACTATAGTATTTCCCTAGTTTGTCGTATGCGATTCTTTTCAAGAATAGAGCCCCAGACCATCGGACGTGCTAGTCGAACCGTCGGAATAGAGTCCCTAGAACTAAAGGTTTGTTCGCGTCGCAAGCAGTGTTGCCAGTTGTGCCGGGTTTCCCCTCCAATGGTTAACCCGCGAACTGGCACGCGCTCACACATGTATTTATATACACACACACATATATATATATATATACACGCATACTACTATATTGCTACGTTATAAACCTCTTTTTGGAAGTGGAGGGGAGGATGTGCGAAGACAGCGAGCTAGGGAATATCGGATCTCTCACTTCCACGGTATACTCATGGTGTAATAAAGAAGGGGTATGCTGTTGCGCAAGAAGATGATTAACCAATGAGGATGGTGGAACAAGTGACCGGCCATAATAATATATATCAGTAAATCAGCGTTTCTTCTGAAAATATGGTATAATTTAAATAAGGAAATGACAATTAATGACTTTATTTTGTTGAGCACTACTATTGTGACTTTTTATTATTAATTATTATTAATAATAATTTAATAATAATTATTATAAGTCCCTTTTAGTTAATAATAATATTATTAAATTATTTATATATATGAAAAGGGTAAAGATAAATAAATTAATCAAATGCTTTATCAGAATTTATTAGAAAAAAACAAATAAATTGTAATACATGTAGTACCTTATAGATACATGTAATATATGTAATATTGGCTGCGTTCAGCAGACTCAACAGTTTTGCAACCGTTTTATGATTGTCTGCTGAGATAGGACCATTCTTCTAGATCTAAAAGTATGATCCAATTAGCGCGAAGGAAACTTACAACAGTTGCAAAACAAACGTTCTGCTGAACGCAGCCATTGCTTCTATATTGTTAACGCCAATTAAAAGCTGGCGAAAACACCACGGTGCAAACGAATATCTACCTCTCACTTAGATAGTGTACAGCGCATGCGCATCACACTCGAGTACGTACACCTATGGTGTAATAAAGAAGAGGTGTGCCCGTGAAGTACACCATATTTTGACGCGTTCTGCGCATATATGGCGTTGGAGCGAGTCGCCTTCCATATTGGAAAATCATAGCAAAGAAAATAAAGAGACTGACGTATCACTTGTAATACGTTTTTGTAAAAAAATGGTGGCATGCAGCGTTAAGGGGTGTAAAAATTGCAGTGAAAATGCGAAAGTAAAAAAATTAAGTTTTTT